AAATATATGCATACATAAAAATAACGTGTGGTTCATAAGTTTTGCGAAAAATTGAGACAAAGTTAGGTATTATTAAAAAAATTTTTTTTTTAAATTACTTAACTGTCTAAGAACATAATTCAATTAATTGCTGTTCCACAAGCCTCAAGTTTTTTCTGATGCTCCTCATAAGGGTTCTTGCGTTTTTAACGTCAAATTCTCGAATCTTAAACATAATCCTACATAGTAGTTCATCCATTGTTGTACTTTTTTCCTGATAAAAAAATCTTCAATAGGAAGACCCTGGGATAAGTTTGGAGGGTTAGCTATTTTCATCACGTATGGAATATTTTGTTGCCTGAGTCAGTTTTGCGTTTCTCTAGCATAATGACAAAAAGCCAAATCGGACCAAAACCTGATATCGGTTTCGACATGATTCTCTTCAATAAAGTCAATCAGATTCGTCAGGAAGTTGTTCATATAGCGTCAGCTCAAGGGCGGATTCTCTACTGGTTCATTTGTGCAGTGAACACCCAGTTAAATTTCACAAAAACACATTATTTTAAAAACACATTATTTTAAAAACACATTATTTTAAAAACACATTATTTTAAAAATACATAAATAACATTATGGTGAGAATAAATGTCATGTCTTTTTAAATAGCGTATTTTAAATTATATAAAAACATTTTCATTCCATTAATATTCATATATAAAATTATTAATTTCAAATTAATCGAAATACAACTCTAAGTCGCCTTTTAGTTACACTTTTCCAATACTCTAATTGGGTCCACTTGTCATATCGTAAAATTATTATTAGGTTTAGAATAGTCACATTAGACTCCATTAATGAAGAAGTTTAATTCTGCTCTCAATTATACAAAAGATTTTCCATTATTATTTAATTAAAAAGTTGTACATTATTTTTCATTTCATTTAACCAGTTGATATTTCCCCAAATAACAGGTCAAACTTTCGGGTTCTTACCTGAAAATACTCATAAAATTTTTAATTCGAAACCCGCGTAAGTATAGCGAATAGACTGTAAGTGAAGATTTACTGTGACGGATGAACTAACGATCCCAGTTTCAACTTATGTACCTAATATAGAAAAGTTAGAGGGTCTAGCAAACTATGCTTCTTGGAAGTTTGCATGAAGATGAGTTTGAAACTTGATAGACTATGGTATGTGGTTATTGAAGGGGTGAACCAAAGCGACAAGTTAAGTATAGAGAAATATAGTATAGCTCTAGCCAAGATCTATTTAAGTGTAAGGCCTACATGCTATGTTCACGTCCACAATGCTAAATGTGCCAAAGATGCTTGGACAAATCTTAAGACAGCATTCGAAGCAAAAGGTATGAATTGTCGGTTCGAACTTCAAAAACATTTCTTTGTAACCAATTATAAAAAATGCTCTACTATGTAAGATTACTTAAATGCTATTTTAACACAGTTTTAATACAGTTTATAAACTAATCGATATCGGAGTGTCGATAGAAGATAAGTTCGTGGCATTTGTAATGTTAAATGGGTTAAGTTCAGATTACGACCCTTTAATCAGGGGCGGTTCCTGCATTGATTCATTTGTGCAGTGAACATCCAGTTAAATTTCATAAAAACACATTATTTTAAAATAAATAACAAAAATGTGAATTCAATTTTAATAATTTTATTGTTTTCATACGTGTTAATCTCTATATTTGGTACGCCACTGCGATCTGGCTAATCACCCGTCTCTTTTACTCACTTTTCTGAGTGAGCTCAAGAGAGTGAGATTCTTGCGCGAAAGCCTCTAGCTAAAAAGAGATGCAACTAGTTAACAGATCCGTAAAACGAACAATGGACCTATTATAAAATCACACAGTGACGTCACAAAATAGGGCGAGGCATACGAATCTATCAAATCATATATATAGAGATGCAATGACGATACTAAAAGTGTCTGCCCTTTTGCATTGCCCTTTTACGACATATTTCAAACTCGAGCTAGTCAGGTTTAATGATAATAAATATAAAAACATTTTTATTCCGTCAATCTTCAAATATAAAATTATTAAATTAAAATTCATCAAAAGTGCCTCACACTTGTCATATCACAAAGTAGTGTTTATGTCGTCTTTACCTACTTCATATTCTATCTTCGCAACGTTTTTTCAACTTTTCAATCACGCTGTCAAATTCTAAAAATCAACATGACAATTTTAATTGTGTATTGTATTTATTAAGAATTAAGTTTAAATAAAACTGCAACCTTATTAAATCGAAGATATGTATGTCAAATCATCGATTGTTACCGGAAAACGTCTCAAGGCAAAAAAAAATATTATTTTTGAGGTTATATTTATTTATTTCCAAATTTCAGTTGTAATTATTTTGTTTTTTGTTCCAGGGTCTACAGGATAGGCATGTGTTTTATACCCAAAAGACAAACGAAGTTTCAAAAAAGTATGACAGTTTTATTATATATTTTATTAAGGGCCAGTCTTTTGACCTCTGAGTAAAGTTGAAAGTAATTACTTGCTGATTAAACTATAGGGGTATTGTTTGTTAATCTGTCAAGTAAACCTACATGTAACTTTACTCAGAGGAGAAAAGATCGACCCTTAAACAAGGATAATTTCTTAACCGTAGTACAATTTTATATGAATAATTGTTTATTTAGTAGGTTGTCCCTAATGAATTTGATGTTATAGAAAAATATCCTATCTATAAATGCTAAAGGTTCTGATAAACAGTGTCAGACTGATATAGCACTGAGGATTTAATGAACTTACATTACAGTTTTTTTAAAGACGATATAAAATATAAATATTGCATTGGCCTAAATTAATTCGAGAAACTTAATAGTTGTGTCTATGTTAGGTATGTACCTATATCATGAAGACTAATTTAAATATTTACCGATATCTACCTGGGAGGTAAACTAAGTCAACTAGTGCAGTTTTATAAAGGTGCGTTATTATTAAAATCGGCTCATCGAGACCTTTTTAGGGATATTCTATACTATGTATAGTGATGTCACAATATAACATTTTAATTCACTCGGTTTCCTTGCCAATAAAAGGTTTTTAAAAAATATATTTTATTTGACGTGTATGACAAATTGTGAAAATGATTAAATTTACAATAAAAACTGAAAAACAGTAGGTAAAATTTTAAATAATAATATTGATACATAAGAATTAATGCATTCTGCATTCAAAAATAATTTTAAAATATGAAGAAAAGTTAGCTGACTGTAGCTAATAATGTTTATAGATTGTTTTCAACGTATTAAAAATAAAACAAATATTACAATAACTAAAATATTCATTTTTTTAATATAACAAAACACCAATAATTCTATCTTCTTCAATGTAAATCATATTGTTTGTGTATCTATATGTCGACATTTTTAAAGGGTCAGGGTTACGTGTTCTAGACAGCCTTATTGTAGTAATGATATAATGACATACACCAAAATATAATAGATCTATTACAATTGTAATGAAAAAACAACCCTGTTTCGCTTGGTCAGGTTACTCCGACTTTAATCCAACGTTGCCACATTTAGTAGATTTCTACTTTTTTTGGTAGATTTCTGCTTTTTTAGCTAGTTAAACTCTTTGAAGATATAGCACAACATAGCAAGATTTTGTCTACATATTTTTAGTTTTGCCTTACTTAATTAAATCTTACATTGTCTGGACATTGTTTTATGTTATCTGTATAAAACCCATCGTCAGGGGCGGCTCGGGTCCAAAATTTTGGGGGTTCACAGTAGCAGAATATAGATCCCGGTACAGATATAGGTAAAAAACTGCCAGTGTTTTAGAAAGGTATATTATAAACTCTCTAAAACACTGAAAGTTTTTTCATATATTTGTACTGATACCTATATTCTGTCACTGTGAACCCCTCACGAGCCGCCACTGCCCATCGTTACTTTGAATTTGGACAGTAAAATAAATTAAGATCGTTTACCTAAAGTACAAATTTTTAATAAAAAAATATAAGTTCATATTAAAAAATACCTGAAAATTCTTCCTGTAAAAACCATGTTTTAATTGAGTTACCATTGATAATTTTAAGTAACTACAATGAATACCACTGCAATTTTCATATTTTCTAGAAATAAACTGCATTTACCGAGGCCTCTTGAGTTTTTATCTATTGTTCCATGAAACATGTCCCTCAAAAAATACTAAATAAGCTGTAGATAACAAACAATAAGTCTTAGTAGCTTTATTTTTATGTTGTCGGTTTCAGTCTTATAGCATTGTTCATATTTTACTCTAAAATTAAAATATAGTACAAGTATTCTTGTTTTAATTCAATAAAAATAAAACAAAATCTCATTGTGTATTATTTATTTTATATCAGTTGGATTATTCTGTAACTCGTTAAATAATGATCTAAATAATAAATACAAATGAAAATAACTACTGCGAAGTTTAAATTCGATGAGAAAACATATTATAGATTTTAGAACTTATAAACTTTAACCAATGGCAAAATTGTAATATACAGGGGCGTCCCATTAAGACGATTAAACGAAACATGCCTGCAGGCATTTTTTTATTCAGTAGTGTTAGGTCATTCGACATAAGACATAAGAGCGAAGCTAGAAGTAGAAACTCTAGTTGAAAACATAAAAAGAAATTAGTTAATATTACAAAAAAAAATTGACAAAATTGTTGTGAAGGGCCATTCCATTATGTAATGTAAAACTCATGATGTTCTACTGCAGTATTTTTTTTAACTCTAGAAATGAGCGAATTTTTGTCCAAATTTCTACTACATATCCAATTATCGCTATAATGTCATTAGCAAGGCCTTCTACAGCTTAAAAATAATATTTCTGCAATTTTGGACTGCAAAGTACCGCTAAGTACATTTTTTTAGGTCGCTGTTAAGGTTTCATTTTACCCTGCCTCGTACGATGGTTAATTAAAGAGTTAAAACTTCGCACCAAGTTCAATGGGTAACCCGATTCTGAATATCAATAAATCATTCTGACAAACCATTGTGATATAACTAGAGACAAATGTAATCAGTATCGTATGACAAACTATTTCAGGTGAATTGTATCCCGCTGTGAAAGTCGTATGGATATCAAAATACATGATTTTATTAAAGTATATAAAGTCCTGTATTTTCCAGTCTTGAATTAGTTCTGCGGCATTCTGATTAACTTAATCATGTTCCTCAAGGTGAGTTATCTCTTTTTGTATCTTAAAATTTATTCATTTTTGTCAAAGAGATGAAAACAAACAGAATATTAAATTAGAAAGAAAACTATGTTTACAAAATTACTCACAACAAATTCTGCAAAAATTTTCTGTATGCGTTTGTCAATAATATAAAGCAGAATAAACGTGTTTTAAATTATTTATAACGCATCTTAGTTATTATTTCTTTATTTATTACAATTTTTGTGTTTTTACACTAGTTGATTAACCTTCTCAAATCACATTCAAAGTCTCCGAATCTTTAAGAATATATGGTTTTATTATTAGAAATTGCAAATAATTTTCAAATATAACACCCCTTAAATTATTATTTAGTACCCACGTGCACTTTAAACTGAAATATTGTAGTTTGATCTAGTACCCTTATTGCAAATGCTACGTTCTGGATATAGAAAGGGTTCAAAGAAAATTTTTAAAATACCTAGTTCAAGATTAATGGAATATATCCCGAACTTGTTTTTGATTATGCGGAGATGTGTAAACAAATCGATATCAATAGCCTGAGCCTAAGAAGGAACAGGAACTCGCTTATCTTTGTATTTAAACTCATACACAATTTTATTGTTTGTAGCGATATTTTGTCACAAATTAAATTTAATATACCCCCATCTAAATTGAATGACCTAGAGCAACAACCAACTCAATGTTAAAGTCATCCCTATATGTAAAGTGTACTTGATGAACTAATCAAAAACGCAGATACTTTCCTTAATTAAATTATTTATTTTCTTAGTTTTATTTTTGTAAGAATTTTTAAGTTTTCTTTAACATTTTCTTAGCTTTTCAATATTATTTGTTTTCTATTATAGTTTTATTTATCTACTTCTATTTACTTTTTATGTTCTTATTTTAATTTATGTCACACTGTATTTATTTTTTATTTCTACTTTAAAAAATGTTTTAATTTTAACGTGTCATCCTCTAGCTCTTCTATCATAAAAAATATTTTCACGCTCATTTGTCGGTAGTTTTTATCTTGTTGATCATTATTGTCGTTTTCTTTCTCTTGTTTCTTGCCGTTAAGACATTATTAAGAAATTTTTGTGAATTTGGGAATATCGGTAGCGGTCACATTTAGGATTTTATCTGGCTTTAATTATGTGTTATGTCGCCTTTCCTGGAAAATCGTACTACAAATCAAGATTGTTCTTATGTTTCGAGCGTATCTGTTTTTCAGAATTTTAAACCGATACCTTAATCTAAAAGAGATATTTAAAACTTAGGTTTCGGTTTCCTTTATTTTTGTTAAAATTTAAGTTTTATTCTTGAATTTTTAGTGTATGAAACAGTTTATAAGGAGAAGTAATCCCACATACTTTTTATTACACTACCCTTCATCACTACGCCCCAAACTACACTTACGTATATGTTATGATGGATTATGAAAAATCACACTTCCATAATAAAAAAGTAACAAGTTACATAAGTTAATTTTTGAGATATTTTAATATTATAATGACCTTAGATGTTGAAGCCGTACATCAAAGAAAAAAAAATTTTAAATTGGTGGTTGCCACCTTATCGAGACTGAAGCCCATTCGGGCAAACTCGTAGCACAAAATTAACTAGAAACGATTTGATTTTGAAAGAAACATCAAAAGACGATGATGAATAGTGGTAGGCTGATGAATATTCAGGTATATAGAGAATTTGCGTTACTTAATCTATACCACGTATAGATGATCTTCACATTCTAGTCCTGTTCTTTAAGAACCATTCCATGTCGCCTATTGATTGGGGTTTACGAATTGTTTGCACTAGAATATTAGTATTCCTTACCTCTTACGTCTGTCCATGAAAAAATATTTAAGGTTACTCATGTAAAATTATTTGGACTCCTTACCCATGTAAAAATATTTGGACCCTTTGTCTCTTAAACAAGTCCGTGTAAAAATCTTTGAGCCCTTTTCTCCAGCACATGTAAAACTATTTAGCCCCTAGGTGTTTTATAAAATGACTATCAACACGTGGCCAGATTGTCAAATGTTTAAAATTATATTCTGTTAGTCGTTTTATAAAATACGAATTTTACTTTAAAGTTAGGACCATCAAAATAAATAAAAATAATAAAACTAAAGAACAAATCAACATAAGATAAAACAACACTTGCTAAGCCTAAAAAGAACAAATAATAGTATTAGATCCTTCCGTATGATTTTTGCACTGTTTTTTAATCAAAATACAATTTTCAAAATATGGCTTCTTAATATTACTTTAAGGTATATTTTTTATATACATGATTATAGTAAAAAATTCTTTCAATCAGATTTGTTTGTGATATTATTCTCTATAATTTTGGTCCAATACGTAATTTTTTTTATTACATGGACCGTAATGGAGAAATTTGAGGAAAAGTGCTAAATTTAATTTTTTCAGTATTTTTGTTGGCAATAATGTTTTGAATCATTTTTATCTGTAATTAATTTTTGGATTTGATGGGCCCCACTCAATATTTACTTTACAGAAAAATTTGCACTCAAATTTTTCAATTATATTCCACTTTAGAGAAATCATTAATATGACCTAAATTATATAGAAGAGCATCACAAATAACTTTTATTGAAAAAAATTTCTTCTATAAACAATTATGAGACAAATACTCCTTAAAGTAAAAATAAAGTACTCTTAAAAGTACGTACGGCCATAATTTATAGGTAACCCAGCAAACCCGTATTTCTCAAGCATATTTTATTTATTAGAACGTGGACCATTGAAATGACACCCAGTGTGGCATTTTCCCCATGCTTTAAAACCAAGACATTTGTCTGTACAGCATTTAAACTTTACTAGGTTTTCACTGGCTGTCATTAAACCCTTGTACTCTAAATTAAAAATCCTTAGAAATAGCTTCTCTTAACATAATATTGGTATTTTCTGGATTTAAGTTTGACGTACCAATTGAGTTAGGTTGGTTTCTAGAAAACTGTCGATTTAAAGCCCATTTTCAGTTCCTATCTAGTATACTCCATTTCGTATATCAAGAATAGTTTTTAATACTGCTTTAGAGTCAAGCGGACCTCTGGGAAATTTTGAAAATGTTATAGAAACATTCTTCCCCACCTGAAAACTTTCCATTTTTACTCCCCTCTATAAAAGAAAAGTATTGCTGTCGTGAAAAAGTCACCTTCCGGGATTATTTTAGATTTGAACGTTTCTGGGTCCCTAGATTACGAAAAACATGTCTGTTGACGGCTTTATAGAAAAACTTCAAATATTGTATGGAACCTTATGGAGATAACGTTCCTTTCTAGCTCGAAACCAGTTATACTTTCGACCAGTTATATACAGGGTGAACAGTTTTTAATTATACATTGTACATGTAGTTTGTTCTTCATCATTTGATTTTTTTTTATTTTCTGTATTTTCACTTATACAGTTGTTATCAGCTAAAATTAAATTGTTCATATCGAAAATCGGCAATTTTTTATGAGACGACTGATACTGCTTGCCCACCGGAATGTCAAACAGAGGATAATCTTAAATATTTGACAATATGGCCGTGTGTTGACAGTATTTTTATAAAACGCCTAGGCATTTTATAATGCGGCTAGCCAGATAGTGAAAGGTATGTAAATGAAACTTTGACAATTTAATCGCTCTTTATAAAACGCCTAGGCAATTTATAAAACGACAGGTTTTGTAATCTGGCTACGACATATAAAACCCTAATCAAATACTTTCTTATATTGTCTCTCCTTATGGGGTCTTAAACAGTATTCCAGGATTATAAACTTCCTACGTGACAATTTAAAATACCTACTACACAACGTTCTTAAATTATGAAAACTGTTTGTTCGCTTCATTACCTTCCTCTTCGCCCTAATATTCTCTAAAGGTAGAAAACGAAATCTATTTCAACCGTACAGCGAGAAAATGTAAACAGACATTTTAGTACGAACGGCACGAAATCGTTTATAATGTCTTCATCAATAACGATGCGGATTTCAAAACACGTCAAATTTGTAGAAGCGTAAATGTGTGTTTTTTTTTACTTTCCGATATAGCGACAGAAATATCATTGAAGGCTTACTTACATTCACGTATCGCATTTCATGATCGACATGCCAGAGGCACGGTAAACCCCTATTTCTCGATACAATGTGACATTTTCAATTCGAACTTGTGCACTGTAATACCGGCAAACCTGCTAATAAGAATCAGGCAACGACATATTTTTATTGTCAATAGTATTAACTCCAAGTTTTATAACGAGGCATCGAGAAAAATCATAATTGAAGTTGGCGTGTTTTCGGTTGGTTCTCCAGCGATTTCCGCAGAAAGACATTAATTACTTGACATTTTCATTTAAACAAAGTTTTACCTCGAAATGATACTACAGCAACAAAATAAGAAACAAATACTTAATTTGATATCAAAATCCTAATCAATATTATCATAAAACTACAGAAATAATTGCTGAAGATGTTGTCCATTTACGTCTGAATACAAACCACCCCTTCTCTATTAATCATTAAAACGTTATGCAACATTTGCACTTTTCTGTCATACGATTTCCAATTAAGATTTATATTACCCTACAAAAGTTACGTTTCGCTAACGCAAGATGGAGTTACGATAGCACAAAAATTGTTGAAAACTAGCGCTAAACATTATAGTTTTCTGTAACTACAAATATTGCTAATTAGAGTTGGTGCGTGAAGCAAAAGAGGGCAACACTTGATATAGCTATTACAGAGACGGAACAATATACGTTGTTGCCAAGTACATACACAGAAGTATCTACTGTTCTAGTTGTCACGTAAATATTGTTAAGCGGCGGAGGGTTAAAATCGCGTAGTTTAGATTTTCTTTGGCATTTTATAGATACTATAATTATTGTGTTAGTTCTCGAAATAGTAGTTTTTGATTTTTAGATTTAAATGGCTTAGGTTGTCTAAAAATCGTCCAAGGAAAACGAGTTATTCTCAAAAAGAAAGTTTAATATGTTTCTAAAGTAAAAA